ACGCAATTTAGAGAGACGCTTTTGATAGCTAATTTAAGGTTATATCGGCATTGCTGTCTATTTGGAGGAAATTTGCTATTCACGTTTATACATATCACACTCATTTCATCCTGATGAAATAATTAAATAATGAATAATAATAATATAAAAATTAATGTTACCCAAACGTTTTCAGTAGTGTTAATTTTGGAAACAAGGAAAAGTTTAATCATTTTAATTGTCCTCCTTCCACCCTCTTCGAGATGACCACATTTTTTAAGTTAATGTTTAAGCTTTCGAGTTTAATTCCTACAAGATTCAGAAAATTTTCCAAGTGCTTTAGGGAATCTTTCAAGACCACCTGTTTTGTGGAGAATGTGGTGGACCTGGTGATACCCCCATCATCCTACTAGTTAGGCCTAATTTTACTTCGTATTCCTTAAATGGACATAGGGGTGCCTCGATATTGTAACCTCTGATATGGCCTACCTTATATGGCTTCTAACGGTTTTCATTTTAAATTTAATCTTATTTATTTTCACAAAATAGCAAGTATTCGCGATGTAATTTCTTTGTGGATTGATATCGCGTGAATGAATCTCCATCAATGCATACATCTCGTTTAATTGTCCAAAAAGACTGCGTTATTGGCATGTTTTCTTATTGAGTTGGTATACTGCACACTCAGCATCTCATCGTTTATCGGAACAGTGAAATCGCAAACATAATTTTGTTAATAGTCGTATTGTAGGAGGCATATTGCATGCCAGTAATTGCAAAGTAGCAGGAGTGGTTCGATCACTAGCAAAATTACCATGACGACGCGCGAAATGCGCAGTTGAGAAGGAAGCCATCACTTAAACAAGGTGGAGCAGTAACAGTAGCAGCGCCAGGGAAGTGGGCAGATAAAGTTTAGGTGGGGAGTGTAGGAAGAGGGTCTCTTGCCTTCCCACTGGTAGACGCGTTATCGAGGCTGCCAAGCATCAAGAAGAAACGAAACAAAAAGTTCCATTAGTTCACTGCTCGAAAACGCACAGCATTTTGATTGTCCCATCCATCCCTCTGTCCTCTGTTCCACCATTACTGCTAACTCTCCCCCCCCCCTCTCTCCCTATTATCTCGCAGTTGATCGTGACCATAGCTACGCAGTTATATGCGGTTGTATTCACATCTTCTCAAGAAGGGCGGGTTGGGGGGGGGGGTTGAAGAGGGACGGAGTGAGATTTCACGTTGGCGCCTTCACCTAGCACAAACTCGCCACTCCAATCCACTTATAATTGCCTTTTGTAGAGGGGAGAAGAGGAGGGGGGTGGGGGTGGGGGGTTAGATAGCCAGTAATTACGCATTTTACTGCCTTCTTGGACACTTCTGCGATAGCATCATACAAGCACTCGCTCTACGGCTCCCTCTCAGTGGAGAAAAAAATGTGGAGTGCTGCTGCGTAATTCCCTCTCCCTCAATTCCCATTTTGACACAAAAATGCGACCCTAACTAGGCTTTGTTAATTGATGATAAGGGGAATTCAAATTAGGGGACCCAATTCTCCCCCTTTCTTTAAGCTCAATTCCCTTGAGCACTTGGTAAGTGTAAATCGGGGAGAAGGGGGTTATTCATTGTCGTTTATGGATTTCTTAAAAGCCATCCCCTTCTGCAGACACTGATTTTCTCTGAAACTGAAACGCGAAGAGGGGGGGGGCGGGGTTGACGAATGAGTTCGTCTAGTTTCACTGGTTACTACTGCTTCATTTTTAACAATTTTGCCAGTTTAAATTGCAAGATCACTCTTTGCTAATGCGGAAGATACGTCTATTTGAAGGGTTGAACGTAGTTGGAGACCAAATTAATGTAACGTTTTTTAAACATTTTAGAAGGGAACGCCTTAAAGCTAAGGTTTATTTTTCAGAATGGTATTCTTGTGGCAATCTTCAATGTATATTCGAAGAGATGAGCTCGATGTATGTCCCTAATAAACAACAAATATCTTTAAGCTGTGCAAAGAGGAAGGACAAACTTCACCTTATCTAAGTTGAATCCCCATCCGATTCAAGTCCCTGACTGGTATTGTGGAGCGTCTTTCTAAATAAACTGACGATTATCAGTAACAAGATGTAGCCTTTATATTGACTTTCTATGTCCCATTATTAATAACTATACTCTCCTGACATATCAACCGTTTCATCGATTTTAAGCGTTTAAATAAATTGAAAATATGAAAAGTCAACTTCAATTACAAGTTCCTTGATTATCGCTGAGGTGACGCGGTAGGCTATCAATTCCGGCGTGACTCCGTGTTTATACAGACTGGCCTGAAATGCACCTCCTTGATTCTCCTGAGGTCAATAGAAGGTGTACTTAGGTACTTTTACACACACTGAGTGTCCACAATGCTTCCCTTTAATCGACAGGTGGTCCTGATCCAAATAACTCCGTGACCTCAACAACCCACGCCTCCGACCTCCTAGACGAATTCCTCCATGTAAACGCATGAGTGATCAAATTAAGTCGTCAGCAGACATTGTGCCATAATCAGTAAAAATTAGTTGAATTATCAAAAATTTA